TTTTTAATTAAAAGTACAATAAATCCCTTATTAAATTTTTTTTCTGACAATTTGGGATCTTAGCATGGCTAATTTCTCATTCCTTGTTTTTTTTTCTGTTTGAACAATTTTATGACGTTCTGTTTTTTTGTTTTTTGTTTTTTTTAAATCCATTATCGCACCAGTAATCAACCAGGCTAATAAGTTGCAACTCTAATTAATTCATGTCCCACTAATCAGTTAATTACACCATGTTAACGAATCGAAAGACAATAGAAAAAGAAAACTTTCGAGAACATTGCCAATAAAGAACACACGGTCATCATTGGCAATTCATCACGCCAGACAGATCAAAAGGATAATGCTGGTGTTTCAAATTGCAATTACGAATTATAACCAGAAGCGGTGTACTTAATGTGAAAACAAATCGAACAATTTGTTAAGTAATTTGGGGACGACGAAATTGCTATGCATCAAATATAGTAAAAATAATAATGATATTAATTTTTTGTTTATGCTTGCTTTAGCGATAAAAAAAAACACTCTAGCTTTTCATGTTAAATCAATGAATACTGTCGTAGTTTGTCCAGTGTATGGTAGCGACAAAATAATGAAAACTGGTATTAATACATTGTGTTGTAATATGGACACCTCGAGGCAGTGTAATCGTTAGAAAGCTTGTCTCGCTAGAACATTTACGATTGAGTAGTGAGTTCGGTCCTCACTGGGTACCCCATATTTTCGGACTTGTGCCACATCTAAGCTAGGCTCGGAAAATAACCGTTGCGTTGCAATAAATCTATGACGTGAGTTCTTGGTCACAGATACAAGCAATACATAAGAGACAAGCGTATAAACACGCGTATGAGGGGGGAAAAAGTCACAGCTGTCTCCCCAACGAACTAATTCAAAAGAAATTGTTGACGTTAAAAGTACGAGAATTATATGTAACGACAAAATTCCATGGTCATTAAATTTTGGGTTATTTTGTTTCCTTTTTAGTTTTCCGCATTGGTTGGCAGTCAGTCTATAAAAAGGTCTAATCTGAATTCAAAGCCGTTTCCATTTTGTTTGTTATCTTTTCCAAAATCAATACATCGTGTTGTAATAAATCTATAAAGTGAGGTCTTTGTCACATATACAAGCAATACAGAAGAGACAAGCGTATAAACATATGTGATGGAAAACAACAATAGCTGTTTCCCCATCGAATTAAGAGCAAGGAAATTGTTGACAATAAAAAAGTACTTGTAAGACAACGAAATTTCATCGTCCTTAAACTTTGGTTCATTTTCCTTCCTATTTAGTTCTCTAGACTTGGTTTGCGGTCAGTATATGAAAAAGTCTAATTTACGCATGTTGAAATCTTCACAGTATTTACTTTTGTTGAAGTTATTGGTATCGAGATTTACAAATTCTACGTTTCGTTCAATTTTACAAATAAATCGATGAAATTTGAATAGGCTAATTTCTTTGGAAAATACTTTGACAAAAACCTTACTTCGCAGTTTAATAATTATTTTAGTTTAATTTAATTTTATAAGACTTCATGGTAAACAATATTTTTTTATGATAATCATTTTTCCTTTGAAATAGTGAAGAATATATTCTTGGGATTTCTTACTCTTGAGCATGCAACATCGCATTATGACTCTTCTTCATTATTTCTACAACCTCTCCATTAAACAACTGAAAAAATACTCGGTCTCTGCTCATTTATATAAAAGAACGCAATTACCCCAGGAGGTGGGAGGGATATTAGAATAATGAATAACTTATACTGGGTGCGAACCCGCAGCATGGGGACAGAAAATGAACTCAGTAAATAAACAAAAATAGAAAGGAGAGTAAGACAAGAATGTGTCTTCTCACTGGACTTATTCAAACTTTTCAGGAAAGCAATCCCGAGAGAATTAGAAGTCCTACCAGGATTAATTATTGGCGGACACTACCTGAAGAACAATAGTTATGCAGAAGACACAGGTTTGATAGCAGACACGTAAGGAAACTACAAGCACTAGATAGTAAAGGAAGGCGAGAAGAAAGGACTAAACATCAGTTGAAATAAGACAAAATGGATGGTTGTTAGCAAAAGGGACAGCTCAAAATGCAAATTACAGATCGAACCAGTACAAAAAATTTAAATATCAGAATTGTCCTAACTGAGGACGGAAAGTGCGATACTAAAATTCAAGGATGCATTGGAATAGGCAAAGATTCATTTTAAAAGCTTAGCAGAAAAAACCTCGTTAGAAACCAAGAAAAGAGTAGAGAATTGTTAGATGATAACAGTCTTCCTCTATGCTTGACAATCTTCTCAAAGCTGAAGAAGAAACTTGTTGCGACAGAAACAAATTTCTACAGAACGTATAGACAATAACAAATTTCTTGAAACAACGGAAACAAAACGGACAATTATACTTAACATCAAACAGAGAGTTGAAATTTCCAGGGTGCATAATGATGAAAGGAGGCTTGGAAATGTGATACTCACAGCACAGGATTGGAGGCAAGAGAGAGATGAGTGAACAGAAACGTGTGAACAGCAAAATGTTGAACGAATCAGTGTAAGCTGAGACCTAGTTTTCGAATATGACTATCGTAAAATGGGTGGTTGGTAGCAAAAGGGAGATCCCAAAATGCAAATTACAAATTGGGGATACCAAAATAAAATAAGTACAACAATTTAAATATCTAGGAGTTTTTTTAACAGAGGACCGAATGTGTGACACGGAAAACCGAAGAAGTATTGGGATAGCCAAAGATGCCTTCCAAAAGCTAAGCAAAGTATTAAGAAACGGAAAAACCTTCGCATAAACGAAGAAAAGACTTATGAACTATTATGCAATTTCAGTCTTCCTGTATGGTAGTGAATGATGGACAATCTCCTTGGGGATGAGAAAGAGACTTGAAGCAACAGAATCCAAATATAGGTTAATTAGTAAGAGTTTAATTCTAAGAGTTTAATAATATTTCCTAGCTTTAAATAACCTGCAAAGTGTTGATACGACGTAAAAATGTGTCAATCAATCAAACCATTTTATAAACTTACGGAAAATATGGCAGATGAGGAAAAATTGGGAGAGATATAATTTCAAGTTTAGGACACGGTTTCCGGTTCCTTCTAATGCTACCTCAGCTCTATATTTCTAACACTTCGCCTAATCTCTGAAATTTTATTTACTATATGTTTTCCTCTTTAGGAAAAGATAGGTTCGCCTATCGTCCGGTTCACACTCCTCGACAGTCTTTTTAAAAAGGAGTAGGGGATTTATCCCTTTTTTCCTGTTTAGGGTTGTTTCCGGTACGTTTCTAGTCTTCTCATTATCTTTCACTCCCACTAGCCACTTTCATCTTAGGGGCGTTTCGGCTTTTTTGGAGTGAATTGATTTTAATAAAAAAAAAGTGTTCAACAAAAATCACTCTACTGAAAATTTTATTATCATTCTTACGTAGAATATCCGAAATTAAAACAGGGCCTTTTACTTTCATAATCAACATCTCACTGAATATTTACTTATAAACCGGCATTGGTTGGGCGATTGATATTATCTCAGAAAGTAAAATCGGTGAAATAAGTTCCAATTCCGACCAAGTATATTGCGTTCACTTTCAGAGCAATGACTTTCAGGGAGGTATGAAACCGCCTCTTCACCCACCAATATCTGATTTTTAATAAACAGTGTAGAAAGGGCTCTGTAGTTTTGTGTGACAATCAATTGGTATTTGGCTCCAGAAAAAAATATTTACGCATGGCCAGTTGTATTTTGCATGCTCAAGAGTAAGAAATCCTAAGAATATATACTTCACTGTTAAAAAGGAAAAGACAGTGTCAAACCATTACAGTATATTTCCCAAGAAAACCTTGAAATTCACAATTAATAATAATAAAAAAACAAAAAACATCCACAGTTTCATGATCGCCTACATCCTGAAAGAATATGGCATGAAATGAAAATTTTAAAAACAATGATTCTAATACAGCCACCAGCGAAGTTGGGTTATTTAACATTAAATTTTGTATAGGGTAGTTCGAAAGGATCGAACTCACTGTCAACAAGACGAGGCTTGGTAATTATGACCTAACCCAGAGGCCACTCAGTATGTGAGTAAACGTTGGTTTGTGTATACGTATGTATATTTAAATGCGTGTAAGACTTTAGTCAGTTCCTCTCGTACCCGATGGAGCATTGAGCTCCCTTTAACGCCGCATCTGAGGGCGTGGTAATTGTAGGAGTTTCAATGCCACACAAGTCTATAGAACCCAATCTGCCCTGCTATTTTACCCATAGAGAGGAGATGGCTTCTTACCTCTCCCAAGGTTATTAGTACATGTGAATGTAATGAACTCGACCGAAATTCGAACTAGGCTCCCCGATTCCTCAATCCGATCCGCTTACTATTACTCCCCCGTGAGACTTTATGGCATCTTTTTTTTTCTTTTACGTCATACGTGTGTACTTTAAAAATTACTATCCAGTCGTTTAACGTCATGTCGGCAAATATGAAGATGTTAGTCACCTATCAACTGTTTTTGTTGGTTCTCTGCTTCAACAAGCATGAGATATGGAATGGGCCTTTGATGTTAAATTAGTTTGACTGGGTTTAGAAGCAGAAAGAATAAAAGAATGAATGCTGGAGGTACTCGCCGAAGCCTGACAAGAGACTGAAAGCTTTTAAGCGTGATTTCATTGAGGAATCACCGATCCGGACATTAACGAACTTAATGGTTTTTCTAGATTGGCCTGGTCATCATAAACAAACCGGTCACTCTGAGAAGAACAGGTGAGATTTGGAACTGGGTGGACAATTGCGCGAGTGACCTCTACAGATTAGTGGAGAGCGGGGTCAAGCGGTGAGTGTGGGGGGAGGAGTTTGAGACTTATGGTCAAGTCATTTCTCACTAGCTGCTGGCCAAAACAAATTTCCGAGGTCAAAAGGCCCTCAATTGGTGGCCTGAAAAGGTCAAGACACCGGACGGACTGAATTATTAACTAGCTTCCATGAAAAATAATGTTACCTTAGGCTTCAACCCTTCGGGAAAGGTAGCTTGTGTGGATGGTGGTGAGCGGTCTGTGGAGGCAAGAAGAAGAAAGACGGGATGTTGGGAGGAAGTAACTGAAGGAGGAAAGGAAATGGCAATAAACCCCAAACAATATTGGTACAAAGGTTGAAGAGGATTTCGTGAATTCGCATAACATCGCGAGCCGGGAAGGCAATTGATGATGGTAATAATTTAAGAAAAGCATTCAGTATCCCATAAATATAATCCGATGGTAGAATCGGTTCAGTCCAATAAATGTGGCTAATATTTTAAATATAGATGTTATCATTAATGTGCTATGTATTTAAGAGAGTAATGATCTCGGTATCTGCTGATTAGACAGTGTATTTCAAGCATTACGTTAAGATCAGAGTGAATAAAGAAACAAAATTTAGCGAAAGGTAGGTGAATGTAGCGCGATAAAGTTTCATATTAAAGTGACTAGTTAGAGATATCTCAATAACAAAACAAGGTTTCTCTGTCAAATAATGTTATAGTTTTACTAGACAGTCCGTTGGCCCGTTGGGTCAACATTGTTGTGTTACTGTTTAGTTTCATGAAGAGTTTGTGAAAGTAGACATATTTTAAAAATACATTTATTTGGAGTTATTGAATTTGCTTCAACATTTAAAAATTGTCTGTGTGAAGGTAGTTGAAATAAAATAATTATTGTAGAAACAAATCGTATTTTTAAATCATATATATATATATATATATAAACTAAGAAATGGACAAAGTCCGACAATTTCTTTATTAAAGACATTTTATCTTTTTTACTTAAATACTTGTATCTATAAAAAAGAACGTTAAACATAAAAATGTCTTTAATATATATATATATATATATATATATATATATATATATATATATATATATATATATATATATATTATCCGCTGAATGTTCAGATTATAAAACATTGAAGTCGCATTCAACATTAAAAAAACAAAATGTCTGTTAAAAGAAAGTTGAAATAAAAATATTTAAAATATTGTTTGTTTAACGAAAACTGAAATATGAATAAACACGCACCCAATCATGGAAAGGTGGAAACAGAGAGTGTTTTTTTTTCTTCTTTTCCTCCTCTCCCCGCCCCCGCTTCCTACCTGATAATAAATTCTTATCTTTCTATCACCCACTCCCTATATATGACTTCTGGAAAACACACAATCAACGTTCACAGACTTTTATAGTAATAAAGATTGACCTTTTTAAATTACTATAACTTAATTAGGGAACATATCATCATAGGTCCCTTTATATTTTTAGACACACCTCTTTCAAAACCAAAACGAACTTAAACTCTACCTAGGCCTCAAGTGGAAATAGTACATACGATCAATCGCTAAGTTTGAAAAATGGCCGTTGCCTCTTCCGCTCCTCTGACGTCCTGATACATCCTGCAATTGTCTATCTCCGAAACTGGAGTACCTGCTGCCATATATCAGCAGGTGTTGTCCAGCCTTCTCTGACATGTCTTGATAGAATCGAAAATCTTCTCCACGTCCTTATGGGTGACGAATTATTTTTCTCACTAGCTTACAAGCGAAAAATTGCAATCCTCAATGATCTTTTTCCTCCCATCATTGCTCAGGTGGGAAGACAGTGG